AAAGGCTTTCTATACGGTAAACAATAATAAGATGGAAAATAGGGACAGAAATTGGTAAGTTATTGGCAAAATATTTTGGCATCGTGCCTTACTAAATTAAAGACTTTTGCAAGTATCCAATTCATGACACAGACAGCAAAAGAGCCTAATGTTCTCTACAGACGACCGTAAAACGGAAAACTAGAGCAAAGAATTTTAAAATCTATCTTATAAAAATGTACAAGTTTAACAAGAGAAATGGATGTATGTATTATCAGGTGTTTTACGCTATAGCTACAATAATGTATTCTTGGTATATCTTTTTTATATTTCCTCGCATTTAATGTTTTTTATTCTTGACATATAACAGTTTCTTACATCATCAGTGTTGCATTTTTATTCACTCTGTGTATGTTGTTCGTATCATACTTAATACATGTATATAGCAAAATGTAGCACATAGGCAGAATGTAGCCTCCAACAGTCTACGGGAAGCGGCTGGAAAGAGCAGATAGAAATTGACCAAATCGACAGTTGATATACCAGGCGAGTTGGTCCGCACTTTAATATCTTAATTGATAATTAAAGCACGTTAGGTACAACGACAGGCCCTTCGCGTTTCCCTCGTAGGCGGTTGCCAGGGTCAGTATACAGGCTAGCTCCTCGGCTCCAGGGCTAGCCTGGGTGCCAGACTGTTGCCAGGGCCAGTATACAGGCTAGCTCCTCGGCTCCAGGGCTAGCCTGGGTGCCAGATTGTTGCCAGGGCCAGCCTGGCACCCAGACCAATTCATTGTGATAGTGTAGATTTTAGGGCGTAAAATTCTATCAACTCTCTGGGGTTCGTATCAACAAATTCGGCCGAAGGTTGTTGATAGCACGATGCAGGCTGAAAGACCTCGTCGACTGGAGTTACTCAAGAATGAAATAGACAGACAAGGGGGATGATATGTACACCTCTGTTTTATTTATTTTAAATATTTGATCCTTACTTGATAAATAGTGACCATAAGCCTTAGATCTGTCTTCTTCTATGAAAACTATACTCTCCAAGCAGATGTTGGGGGACAAAACTGTAACGTTTTCTAGCTAATTCTGTGGCAAACGACCTTCCTTCTGGAGTCTGTGATTCTAAGATGTTCACTTTGACCCCATTTCCTGAGTCTGACCTTTTGGCCTCCTCTCGTTCTGCCTGTTACCCACATGCTGTCAACCTACTCTGTCCGGACACACAGACACACAAACCCACGGCTCAGCCACCCAAAACAATACTTCCAGGTAACCGTGGGTCAGGGTCAAGGTCGTCAGCTTCTTACCATCATCTGGGGAAGGAAATATCAACATAGCCTGGACACACAGACACACAAACCCACAGCTCAGCCACCCAAAAACAATACGTCCATACCCAGAAGTAACAAAACCGGGAGCTAGACAACGTTACAATTTTACCTTTCAACATCTGCTAAGAGACTACGAAAACTACACAGTACAACGTAAGAAATAGTAAAATCTCCTACTATTACATATCATACAATCTGTACATACTTTTTTTACATCAGGCTTTTAAATACTCCATAACATTGATCTCAGAATAAATCTATGACATAATATCCAAACTCAGCTCCATAGTGAAAAAGATAAATAAAATAAAATAAAACATACATAATACTAAAATCACTACCATCAAGGCAGTGGGATGACGCGACTCAACGTGTCCACATATTAGTGTGTATATACAGATTGGCATTAAAAAACAGTCTACTTCTGCTACCACTGAAGTCCACTCTCTTACGCTCTCTAGCGTCCGTCTGACGAACTGCAATCTCTTCATGCCATCAAAACATTTTTGCTAGCCTGGTACCAGCCTATTGCAAGATTCTGCATCTGGCTACCCGGGTCAACTTGCATGCAAGGGGGAATTTTCACGTGGTATCATTGTTCATTAGCCTGGATGCCAGACTATTTCCAGGGCCAACTATACACAGGCCAGCTCCTCACCTCCAGGGCCAACATGCCCCCAAGGAAACTTCAGCACATCCCTGGAAACAGTCTGGCATCCAGGCTAGCAGATTGACCAGTGCTTAGCTGGATTTGGACCAGTAAAACATCCCTTCGCGACCCTGGGAGTGGCTTGTACCAGGCTAGTTTTTTCCTACTCCCTCTCAACTTCAAACATACAAATACAGTCTAGTCCTACAAAAGCCAGCTCCATTGATGCCCCGTAAGGAATTCAGAAACATAAATAGCCTGCTGTCTTGAAATCTTCAGGGCAACGCAATCTCCCCGCTCGTAATGGTGATTCCACAGTCACAATCGTCACACAAAGTCTTCATCAGATTTTGAAGGAGGCTCAGACAGAACCTGCAAGTCTACAAGGGTCTATTAGAACCGTTTCCATGATAAAACAGTTGAACCTTGTATGTTGTATACACTACTGTCCAGAGAACGTCCTCATATTGTTGTTGTAAACTTGTCATACGATGGAAATGACGAGGCACCCAAGACTTTGCTACCATGTCGTACGTCAAATGTGACCATGGCCTGTGGAGGAATCAGGTTTCCATCTCCGGCCACTCGATGAACTTCGGTTTGACGATGTACAACAGATCTACAACTGTCCGAGAATGTCCTTGATTTGTGAAACTGTGGAACGTGGCCGGGTCCTACAGAATCAAGTTTCTAACTCCGGCCACTACTCGATGAAGTTGGGTTTGACGATAGTGACAACAGATCCACAACTGTCCCAGAATATCCAAACCTGTCTTACTACGAATGTGACCAGATCTATCACTGTCCCAAGATTTTGCGACCATGTCTTGCGAATGTGACCGTAACCTTCTGAATCAAGTTTCTAACTCCGGCCACTCGATGAAGTTTGGCTTGACGATGGTGACGCAGCCTGAGTAGCACCTGAGCTGTGGGACGGTCCCCACGTTGGTCCAGCTGTCATTTTCCGGGTCGTAACACTCGGTAATATCCGTGAAATACCCGCCGGACACGTAGATCTTCCCGCTGACGGCGCCGATCGTGCCGTTTCCGTGCTCCTCGATCATGGACGCGGCCGGGTTCCACTCCGAGCGCGCCGGGTCGAACACGTACATCTCCCGGGAGTCGGCCCCGATCAGATAGATCCGCCCGTCCAGGCACACAGACTGCAGACAGTACCTGGAACGAATGAAATTGTATTTTATAACAACTTTTTACATTTTTGGACAACATGGCAGAAGTGTAATATAAACCTCTCACTACATGTAGGTTCTCTTCCATCAAATACTAGACCCTCCCTGTATTTACCGGTATACCCGAGGTGTTCATCTTCAAAACCAAGACTTCTTCAATACTTACCATCGTCAGTAACCTACATTGTATGCTTCCCATAAACTTACATTGTAGTTCCGTACCCAGAAGTGGTCTTCAGGCCTTGCATTGAGAAAATTCGCTAAAATCAAAGTAAAAACTTACTTGTGAGCAGGCATGGACGGTGGGTTTGCCAGGTTCCAGGACTGAGTCTTGTGGTTGAAGATTTGCATCTCCAGATTTTCGCTCTCGGGCGCGCTGCCGATGACGTACATGTTGGAGCCGTGAGCGGACAGCGTGAAGTCCTCCATCGCTTTGGGCATCGGCGGGGCGGCGTGCCACTCGTTAGAGAACGGGTCGTATCTGGAAGAAAACGTAGGGAGAAGGTAGTCATAAAAACATAAAATTTGTTTTTGTTCTGTTTCTTCTTCCTCTTCTTCTCCAAACAAATAAGGTCAATGACCTGGACTAGACGTAGGGAGAAGTTAATCATGTTTACCGAAGGAAAACGTAAAATTTTTTTTTGTTCTGTTTCTTCTTCCTCTTCTTCTCCACACAAATAAGGTCAATGACTAGACGTCTGTCACCATGGTAACTGGAGTTGGGCTACATAATATTAATGGATGATGAGCTACAACTTTTATGTGCATATGCAACTGCATATATGTGATTGGCATAACTTAAGGAGGTTTGAATAGATTGTGATGATATTTGGTATATTGGTAGGTATTGGGAAGTTTGGTCCCCTAGCAGCTTGTTCTGTAATGGCAGGGGTGGTTTTGCCTTAAAAAGCAAAACAAAAAAAATATTTGTTTTACTGACCTCTCGACGTCTGACAGAGCCGAGGTTTCGTCGTGTCCACCGACGGCGTAGATGTGTCCGCCGAGAACCGCGGTGCCGTGCCGATGTCGCGCCGTCAGCATGGGCGCCACTTTCACCCACTCGTCAAACTGGGAACTGTAGCGCCACGTGTCCGGGAACACGTTCTTACCGTCAGAGCCACCTGGAGACACAAACAATCAAACAAACAAACCTCGTAACTATGACGTACACCTATATGTGCCGTAAGGCTTCATGTAGACTTTTCTCATTAGACGTATCCAGAACCGTGTCTATGTCTGCATCTAGTTCTACATGTATGCCTAAATGGGTTAAGGTTAAGGCCTATCCAAGGGCCTAGCTTTACCCTAGCCGCTGTTTTGCTGAAGCAAGGCTGGGGATAAATCAAAGCACAGTTCTGGATGCAGCATTTACCTGTGACGTAGACCTCTGTCCCGAGTGACACCACAGACAGGTCTCTCTTCTCGGCATCCGGCAGCTCGGCTAGCGGGCTCCACTCGTGATTCTCCGGGTCAAACATGTCGACATTAGAGATGTAGTGGAAAAACCCGTCACAGCCACCCACCACCAACATCACCTGGATAAACAAATAAGAACAGAAAAGTGGTTTATAATCAACTTCCAGTAAGTTACCCAAATTTTCGACTTTGCAACTCCAAATTTGTCAAGAAATGAGTAATCTACCGCTTCCATAGTCACAGAAAAAATTTCGACAAGTCCAATTCTTTGTGTTGGAAATTATAGTTTAAACTTCTGGCATAAAGATGTCTACCAACACAGATAAACTTTCAAGACAACGTTTTAAGTGCTTTGTTGTGCTTTGAAATTGGACGATGTAATGCAGAAAAACTCCGGAACACAAAGGCGTAACATCGATGAAGGTTAGACATCCAGATAGAACATCATATACAAATGTAATACAAAATGAATCAAGCAACTGGAGAAATGCTCTGAGGATTCAGGCATTAGCATCTGCTGTCTTCCATCTGTCACTGAGTTTGTAGGCCCAAGCTATAGCTTTCCTGTTTAGGGTGGAGTTTTACTTTCTTACCATGTTTTTTTCTAGTTTTTCTGTTTTGTATAATTACCTCCTGTACTTCCTGCTTGGTCCCCTCCCGTCCCCTACCCGGCTTCATGAAGAACTTTGGTCTGCTGTTCGGGTCGTTGTTGAAGATGTGGTAATTTCTCGTGTACTGCAAAACCTGCAAACAACAACCAACAAACGTGAATAGTTTCATCTCACGTATATATATCACGAAGTAATAAAGCACATAAAGCACGTAAAGCACATTTCTTAGTCTAATCCTTTGACAGTTGGGGCACCTCAGAAGATCTGTTGAGCAGTTTTCTCCAACCTTCTGGGTTTACTGTTTATTTAGTGTCTTGTTGGTCAATTCTCTGATATCATCCTCGCATATTTTCTGTTGCCTAGCCCTCATTCTTCCTAGATATACTAAATATGGCAGGACATTGATAGTTGATGACCACAGCTGGACTAACCGAATATGAATGCTTCCATTGTGGTACAACTCTAATGATACTTCTGTGAATCCATTGACCCATATTATTAGTATACATTATTAGGTCCCCTATGAAAGTTGTAAAAGTACTATTTATAAAGGCAACAGTGTGCTCAAAACGTCAAAAAAATCTGTCAAGTCACTGAAGTTTTTGGTGAAGGGGGGAGGGTCATTGCTCTCACAGTACATGTACTAGTATACCCCCCAGGAATAGTCCAGTACCATTCTAAAGTAAAGTAAATCAATCATTTTCATTTCACTCAAAACATAAAGAGACACCACAACAGCTTCGGGGGACATGGCAACATCTCTTCTTCTTAAGGAATCTGCCTGAAGGTTCTAGAAGATCTGGAATCTAGAAGACCCCTTCCTTGATACATCTTGGAGAGTTGACAATAAGTGGTTCTGTCTCTATCTTGGTGACAAAGTAGTGCTGTGCGATGAACGACAGTTTGACGCGCCCCAACAGTTCTGGTAGGGCAACAACTTTTCTTCTTCTAGAATCTACCTGAATGTTCTAGAAGATCCTTACCTTGATGCATCTTGGAGAGTTGACAATAAGCGGCTCTGTATCTATCTATCTATCTTGGTGACGAAGTAGTGCTGTGCAATGAAAGGCAGCTTGATGTGCCCCAACAGTTCTGGCAGCACTGATTATTATGTATTATCGATATTGTCCTGGATACTAGTATATACTAGTAAATAAAGCAACAAAGAACCAACCTTGATACACCTTGGTGAGTTGACAATAAGTGGCTCTGTCTCGATCTTGGTGACGAAGTAGTGCTGAGCGATGAAGGGCAGCTTGACATGCCCCAACAGTTCCGGGAGGGCTGTTGCTCTCCTCTGTACGCTGTACTTCACCCAGGACATGACCGCCTCGTACACCCGCTCCTTCATCACGCGCAGGTTCGCGCTGGAGATGTAGTCCACCACGAACTTCTTATCCAGGGCTGGGGATGATAGAAGGAAGGAATGAATATTAAATGAATGAACGATTGAATGCATAGGAAAATTGTGGTTTATTATAGGAACACTTTTACTTATTGGCAAGCAAAGATGTTTAAAAAATGGACAGATGTTTAAAAAATGGAAATAAACTTTCAAAGTTTGGAAACAGATTTTGAAAATTTGGAAATAGATTTAAAACATTTGGAAATAAAGTTTGAACATCTAGAAATAGAGTTCGTACATTTGGGAATAGATTTTGAACATTTGGACAAATTTTCGAAATCAACCGATTTTTTAGTAACTCTTACGTACATTGTAGGGATCAACCCCTGGGCAAAAACCAGTGGGTATGGCCCCTGCATTAGTGTATTAATGTGTTTTAAAGTTTAAGTGCAATGAATTAATTGATATATAGACAATGACAACTAACTTTACCTATGAACTCCCTGCTCTGGCAGACGTCTAAGAAGTGATCCAGGACGAACCCCTTGGCGGTCTCGGCCAGCTCCTTGCAGTGGTGCGTCTCCGCGAACTTGTGGATGCCGATACAGTTGGTCGGGTCCAGCTGACGCTCAAGGAACTGGCAGCACGCGTCACGAACAGCAGGGAACTAGATCAGGTATTTAACATTACTTAATGAGCATTTCAATGTTAGAGATTCAGGTGAACTCGGAGATTACTTACAGACGTTTTAAGTGAGAAAATGTGGTTTCTTGATGTAGTAGCTGACTTGTAGCAGTAGTTTACAATTAGCAATAGATGATGGCTGGTCTAGGAAGCGGGCAGGAAAAAAATTCAAGCAGCTTGAGACAAAGCATGGAGACAGGAAACATCGCAAACAACTCCATAACTTTAACGCTCCAAACTTTATCCATATGTCCCAACCGTGGCCGGGACTGCCATGTAAGAATATAGGACTGATTTGATACACAACAGGCTGCCCATGGCCGTAACACCAGAACTAGTGCTACTATATATGATAGTGAAAAGACATGACAACAGTTTACCTGGAAGAGGTTAGCTGCGGGAAGGAGCGCCTCCACGTTCTGCTCGGTGATGAGGACCCTCCCGGTGTAAGCGTAGTCCACCAGCAGCTGCATGATGTGCGGGGAAACCTCCTTCAACAGGACCTGCAGGACACACAGGATGGTTTGTAGGTAAATACTAAAGGTTGTTGACTCGACTCTAAAGGTTCTGGGTTCGAATCCCCGTCAGGCCCCAATGTTGGGGACAAGGTGGTCTTGTGGTTATGGTTGTTGACTTGAATCTAAAGGTTCCGGTATACATTGGTAATGAGATACACAAACTCAAGCAACTGGGTACATTTGAAAATCGTTAGCCGTTTCTACTAGAAGCTACTATTTAAGTCACTCAAAAAAAGTGGATGCTACTTGAACGTTTGACGATTGCAAAGTCTATCCAGTTGCTTGGCTGTTTTCCTGTGTACCTGGATGTCTAACCTTCATCGAAGACGACTTCATCTATTTGCACAATATATAAAATTTCACCGAAATGTCCAAAATTTCTATTTGATTTCTAAAATATTCAATATATCCTATTTTTCTTGCTCAACAACAAACCTTGTCCTGCTTGCTCTCCCTCAGATCGCTGAGGAACATGGCGCGGAAGTAGCTGCTTGCCGCTGCCAGGACGTTTCTGTGGCAGAAGAACTCCTTCGTCCCCACGACGAGCGCCAGATCGCAGAACTTCCCCTCGGAGCGGATCTCCCACAGGCCGCGCAGGACGTTGGAGGCGTGGAACGAGTCGCAGAACGGCAGCTCCACTGAGTCGGAGAGGATCCGGCGGCGGCGCCGGCCAGCGGAGAACAGCGGGGAGCCTTGCGGGGGCTGCATCGGGACCGGGGGCGTGTCCTGCGGGAGACAAGACGGGGAGTTTTTATCTACAAGCTTACCTTTAGGTGACTAGAAGACAGTTATCCGCAAGACAGTATCAGACGAGGTGTTTTTGGTCTCCAAGCCGATGCTTTGGTGACTACAAGACAGTATCGAAACGGCAGGATCCAATAGGCCACTGTCGTGTGGCTGGCGAATTCGCGAAAAACGTCCAACACGCCACCGGATTTGTATCTCCAAGCCGATAGCAATAGGCCAGAATCAAATCGGCAGGGCAGTCATGACCCAACACGCCACCGTAGCTTGTAGTCTAGCTGGCCAAAAACAGGATACCAGTACAACAGACAAACCTTGATAAAAACGCCTAAAAGACGTCAAAATATAATCCGAAGCCCGAACCTCTGCTTGAATGGGAATGGAGAATAGTAATCTTGAATCGTACGCAAGTATCCGCCCGGGAGTACGTGTTACGACTCTGTCTACACGCAGTCTGTTTCTGGAGTGTGATGTAGCCTTGGGGCTATATATATCGGGTCATCTGGTGTTGGTGTGATGTAAGTATGGGCAGGGTTGAATTTAGCTCAGTCCCCAAATATAGACACGCGTCACTGCGTACAGGGCAAACCGCGCTGCGAACCTGTTTGGTCTTATCTCCGCGTGACAAGTAAACACGTCCTTTTTATGTTTCCTAGAAGTGAACTCTTGGGCAGACTTTGAGGCTAGAACTGCCGTTTGCTCGTGAAAGTGATAAAATTTACTATACTTACGTCTGGCGACTTTGGAAGAAGAAATGTCTCACAAAAAGCCAGACCAAACAAGAGCGTGGTTCGCAGGCCAGCGGCAACACTCCGTCAGTAGTTTACTGAGAAAACGTACCTTACTGCTCTTCCCAAGGCTCTTATCCATAAACATCAAAGCGTTTTATAAACATCGCGCATACCAAACGTTAGAAACATACTTAAAAAACTCAATTACTTTACTAATAAAACTGTATTGTGCATCGGTTATAGCGAATACAACCTGAGCATGACATCTTCTCAACATGTTTCATCCGTGCGTTCCAATAAATCTAAAAATCTACGCTTTTTTTCAACAAACTGCATAACGCTAGATGTCTCTAGAAGGTAGAACCGTACCTATCTATATGTGTACAGTGCCTGAATGGGTTTCAGGCACGGTTCTGGATAGTCTCTGAACGAGAGACGTAGAACGTATGCAAGAACGTAGATTTGCTCCAGGTTCTGGATACAGCAAAAGCGATTGCCCGTGGTTGACTACAGCTAAATGCCGTGCGTGATAAGAAATATTTCTGGAAGGTCTCCAAGAATCCCTCCCTCTCGTCTCACCATCACGCGTAACCATAGCAACCAAGTACACGTCATAGGGCGGGTTTGCTCACTGTCGTGTGGGTTTGTCACCTTCCTGTAAACTACTACGCAATGTTTGTCTGGAGCTAACGGCGCGTATCACGTCAGAGGGGAGGAGGTTGGTAGTCTCCAGCAAACGTACTCTCCAAGCAGAGGTAGGGTTTTGGGGGTATTTTAGCGTGTTTTTTAGGCTTTTTTTATCGGGGTTTCTCTTTTGCACTTTCTCTTTCTTGGGTTTGGGGGGAAAAAATTCAGTGCAAAAGAGAAACCCCGATAAAAAAGCCTAGAAACACGCTAAAAATACCCCCAAACCCTACCTCTGCTTGGAGAGGTAACGGACATAACAATGCAGACTGAAAAAAAGTAAAATTTTGCGTAAGATGAAGAATAGTTTGCCAGTGGGGATTGGCAAGCATAGGAAATGTTACCCTAACCGCGGATGAGTTTTCTGGCCGATTACAGGCCATATTTTTGCCGATTTTGTATACACCATAACCTCCTAGGAAGGCCTGGTGGAGGCTCTTATTTTGTCGAATTCTATTACAACTATCCGTAACCCTTAGGAAAGCCTGGTGAAGGCTACTTTTGGGCTACTATCCATATAGCTCCTTATGATGGCCTGGTGGAGGCTAGCAGGTTGGGTGGGTTCACGGAGAGGGGAGAGGTCCGTAGCCTGGTCACCAGACCCATGTTCGCTCCAGGGTTTATTTGAAGACGGTCTCGCCCCAAGGTCCAAATCTCTCTTCTCAGAAGTGCCGGTGGGATGGGAGGCTGGGCATGGTTGTGAATGGGTCTGACGTATGAATGGAACGTTACGTTCCTGTTGAGTTTGTGTTAGCGTGAGTAGTCCACTGTGGTTAGCGACCCTCTCTTTGGACCAAGAGGTCGGGAGTTCGAACCCCGGCCGCTGTCGCTAACAATGGTGTTGTCATTGATTCGACTTTTCCAGAAATCAACAGCTACATTTGCGCAATCGCTGTGACATGTATGACGTGCATATATCATTGCGTGTGGCATTGGATATTTTGCGAGGCTGAGACATGTATGTGTGTCTGCGTAACACACCAGCTTCGGTGTACATGTGTAATTGCGTATAGCGATATTAAGAGAGGCTGAAGCATGTTTGTGTGTCTGCGTAACACACCAGCTTCGGTGTACATGTATCAATGCGTGTGTCATTGCGTGTAGCGATATTTTGAGAGGCTGAAACATGTCTGTGTGTCTGCTGTGCGTGGCTGAAGGACACTGAGAGACTGAAATATGTTTGTGTGCCTGTGTAACACACCAGCTAGCTAGCTTCAGTGTACATATACATGTATATCATTGCGTGTAGCATCGGATATTTTGAGAGGCTGAACATGTGTGTGTGTCTGCTGTGCGTGCGCTGAAGGACACTGAAGGTTCCGGAAACCAACAAGTGCACGCGGACCTGTCACTCAACCGGAATTACGCAATCTCCAAGCAGATACGTGGTGGACGGTAGACGAAGTTATAAATATGGGCATGATGCATGATAGATGATGACGTGGTGTGATGACGCAACAACCTCTGATTTTGACACGTACATAAATTGACTCAAGGAATCAATCATACATACATCTATATCTTTATCCATCTATATGTATCTCGTATGTCTATATATTCTTAGTTTAATTTTAATTATTTGAATTATTCAAATTGAAACAATATATAATTGAGATCTATATTTTCTATATGTCTATATTAATTTATCCACTTGTGCATATTTCCTTGTTTTGTAGTTTGTAGTTTTCGGCGACGAATTCGAAGGACTACCAAGAAGAGTTTGTACCCCTCGAATGAATAAATAAACTTAAAGTAGAACTTACTTCACCTTTAGTCGGAAATAAAGTGAGGTAACATTTCATAACATAATTGTGGTAACAAAAGTATGTTGTAAGTTGAAATCATAAGTTGTGCAATGTACCCCGTGACCTCTGACCCACAGATCCCGTATTTATACACACCGTAGTGTTATTTAACGCACGTCACGACAAGGCTGATACGCGCAGGGAGCGATGTAAACAAACGTTCTTCTCCAAGCAGAGGTGTCGGGAGGGGGTTTTGGAGTGGCTAATAGATGTAGATGTAGATTCCTTCAAGCCAGGTAGGAATATTTTCCAGTTTGGGCCGCTCTTGACTTCAGCCAACAGTCATCTCAGGTCGCATAGGGTGATCTAGGCTAGGGCTCTGTAGTTACTACTGGTGTAGCCTCATATATAGCCTCATATATTAATAGGGATGGCCAGGGTTTTTAGCACTGCTATCCCAGCTATCGTGGGGTAAATGTTGGACAGTGGCGGCCAATGGATACAGGCGGCTAATGCTGAGGTCACATTTCCAAACCGGGGCCCGGCCGGGCAGTCATACGGAACGAAAAGTACGATATAAAAGACAAGGAAGCACAGAAAGGTTTTCGATATTTATATAATCGATCATTCCTGCGCAATATTCCTGTGTACTCCTGATATGAATTGTTAGTTTTTCGTTCATAGAAGCCGCCCGGCCGGGCCCCGGTTTGGAAATGTGACCTAGGCATAACATGGAGTCCCCTTACCCCACCGCATCTGCTTGGAGATTAAACAAACGTAGTGTTGTTTAACTCACGTCACAGCCAGGCCGATACGCACAGGGTGCGATGTAAACAAACGTGACGACATGAACTGTGAGCGAAAAACACACACACAGTCTGGATCTTGTCTGTGTGAGGGGTGGTACATAACACAGTTCACGTAAATATAGTCTGAACTAAAATGGGTGACGGTATCACAAACGTAAACACCTTTACCTGCTAAAATATCCCACCTGTATTATTGAAGCAAACTCTATAGACAGGTATAGTTAAAACGGATGAAGGACCTTTATAGTACGTTTATGCTCTTACAAGCTAAGTACATGTCATGGCAATGAGTAGGTCTAAGTACAATTACAGTGATATAAAAGTCTTAATACATCTACAATGGCTATTGTACATGTATACTAGTATGTACAGGTTCATGCAAACTCTATTCACTGTAAATAAGCACGAAGAACACATCTACTCAGACCTTACCATGCCCTAGCACTGGCGGCTGAAGTTGAGGGAATGAGGGAGGGTATAGTCCGTAGCTTGGTTTGCAACAATGTGGCAAGCGAGGTCTTTACTTGAGCTGCTACAGATTTGTGATATGTATCAAACCCTGTCTGCGCGGGAACATTTCCTTTTACGGCGTGCCACAAGCCGGCCCGCGAGTATCGTATTTCGTGTACAGTTCGGACGTTCGCTAGCCTGGTATCCAGTATTATCGAGGTTAGGCATTAGCTTCCTTCGCGTGGGGGAATGATCGTTACCTTTTTATATATGGCCGTTTTTTTTGTCGGTACCCCCACCAACCGTCGGTGGCCGGCGACCTGCTCTGGCTAATGGATACTGCCTGGCCAATTTGATACTGTCTTTTTGCCACCGAATGGGATCTGCTTGGAGATTATGGATACCAGGCTACACGTTTGTCTGTCCGTCCGTCTTTCTTCACCCATACGGCACGAGCTAGCTTGCGCCTGGGTTCCGTACTCTTCTCTCAAGGACAGCGCTCACAAATAAACAAAACGGACAGGGAAACATGGAGCATGAAAATATCTGGCGTGCCTGGGAAATCTGTGGGTGTAAACAACATATCCGGCTGGTGGGGGGAAATGCATGCTCGGAATGTTAACTGGGTCGCTAGGAGTAAGCTTCGCACCGCGCGAACACGGACCGCACAAGAGCGCCGCCGTGCGGGATATGTTGCAACTGCACGGCGAATTTTATGGTTCATTGTCAACAGAAGATTTGTTTGTGTTCGATCCACGGTGAGATAGTATTGTTGGCTTTGGCAGCGATAAGATATTTGAAACTAACTACACTTGTACACAAGGCAATAAAATGTAGTTTATTGACGTTGTTAAAGTCGAGGTCACATTTAATATGCATAGTTAGCGCCGCTGTTAATACTAGTACGTATACCATTGGAAGGGCGACTAAAACGTAAAAGCGCACGTGCGTCAGTCAAATTTCAGACTAGGCGCCTTAGATTATATTTCATCCATGAAATTTCATCTAGGTTCAAGTTAGAAGAAGTCACCGAAGGATGTACCAAACTGTCGGTGCAACACTGAAATTTCTATATCAAAATTTGTGAACTTAAAATTTTATTACCTTGACGAAATTAACTGAGAACGGAGTCATAAATGCAACCGTTCTTCTAGCAAGACTTTTGTTAACACTTAAGTTGCGCAGTCATGGCTGTATATGTCTTTACACACTTAAATAAATCAAATCAAACACTTGTTACGTAATTCGTATAATTTATGGTTTTCTTAAGAGCGTTACTCAAGGACGTGCTAGCTGGCGACGGTGCCAAAATTCTTGAGCGTTTCTCCAGGTGTTTTTCCTTTGCAACTTTCTCTATTCTTGCCTTTCTTCGAGGACTGGCGAAGATGTATTGGCGAAAGGTAAGGTTTATAGTTACACAGTCCCGTAGCTCGAACTTTGCTATGCTTCCAGGGGAGTTGGTCTTCTAAAGAGTATTTTGTGTGTAACAGTCACGGGAGCGGCCAACACCTTTAGCGACCAACTCCCCTGGCATGTTCTCATCTATTTGGCAAATTTCTACTCTTTCCAGTCGACTCTGAAGCCTGGTAGAGGCTAACGCCCTTAGCTACCTAAGCCTAGACCTTTGCCTAAACATGGAAGTGTAAGTCTAACTCCATGGCGTAAAATAACATTTTTTTAGGCGGGGGACTTAGATTTCAACGCAATGTTTCGAGTTTGTCATCATAATACAGCAATCTAACGTTACGATGAACTCTCCAAGCAGCGGTTTCGGTCGATTCAGATCAGACAGTTACTTTAGTTAGTCTAGTATCTACGTAACGCTTGACGTCACTAAAAACAACAGGTTATGCATGAGATTCGCTATGTCAAACGAGGGGGGGGGGGTAGTAACAGTTTCTCGACTTAACCTAGAACTAAGCAGTTTTGTAGCGTGGGTTTGTTGCTAGTTCCTGACAGAACCAGTTCCAGGCCGTATTTGGAAGCCTTTTCTTATCCCTTGGAATGCTCTAAACCCCTGCCCGCCCTCCCACATAGCACCTAAACACAACAAAGACCATTCCCCCGCCTTTTTGTGCATTTTTCTCGACATTTTAGAGTCTCTACCTCTACAGGAATATGAGCTGCGTCCTTACGTGCAAAGCTGGAGGGTTTAGTCGTCCTGTCATGGCGGCAGAACCCACGAAAATGGTCAACTCCAAACCTTCGTCTCGCCTTGGGATCAAAATATTATGCTTAATGCAGAGACGATGCCATTATTACTAAAAAGGGGGCAATATTTATTCTATTGCTTACTATAAACACCTTATTTATAATACTACTATATCATTTTCTTTACTCAATACTTTAATATGAATAGTTACCTATATGAATATAGTTTTAAGGTCATATAGGGATATAATTTGGGAATTTGATGATTACGTCAATCTGAACACCCCTAATAACATAATAAGCTCTTCTGTAGGTCATAGGTTAGCTTACGGAAACTAGGACGCCACTTCCGGGTTGGTATATTTTGGGTGGGGGCAGCTAGGAGCTCAGTGGTGTGTTTACCTTCTTGTGGTGGCGGGAGTTTCGCTTTCTGTACCCCCACGCACTTCTGCAACAAGGGTACAAAAGGTTTCGCATAGACACCCAGTTCTTCAGATTTCTAGAGATCTTCAGGAGTTTTTGGTGAAAGGAGCTTTCTGACAAAAGGTTTGAATCTGTCCTGTCAGCTCTTGTTGTGATCCTAACCCTAACCTTAACACCCTAACCCACTCAGACATAGAACTAGACGATCATGGTTCTGGACACAATGTTTTTCCTCGAATTCTTGAAAGTAGAAGAAGAATAACTTCATTGCACGACAATTGTAGCAGGTACAATGTATGGCAACATAAATGTAATCTTCAAGCAGATCATACGGTGGCAAGGGAGTATCCATTGGCCAGAGGAGTGTCCACTAGCCGTTAGTGAACACTAGTACTGTGTTCATAACGGCGTGTTTTGCTGTGTAAGGGACTCAGGGATTTTTATACAGAGAGTTGAATGGTTCAAGATTCAAGTTAAAGTCGTCAAGATAGTTTATAGTTTTATTGGTCCATCCAAGTTAAAAACAGAATTAGAAACCAATTTACAAACCATTGACGTGTAAAAAAATACAATTTACATTTATAAAGTGTACAAATCGCCCTACATAATATATATGTACAAAATGCCACCCACAGGAAGAGATGTTTGAGGCGGCTGTGTCTGGGTTTGTGAAGGCGGTGGGGAAAGACTCCCTCCTCCCAGTTCCTGACCTGAACTCAGCGAACAAGTGTCGACCGCTTCACATCGCGGTTAAGAAGAACCCGAAGTGGTTCTGGCAGAGTCCCAAGTACATGCCGACTTCCTTTAAGGTGCACCAGATCCTCACCAAGACAGAGGAGATAGACGTGGCTGTGAGCTGCAGGTAACTTAAGACATTGGTTAAGACTAAAAAGATACACTGTCAGGTACTACTGTGTCCGAAAATAGTTTCATCAGGTTGGTTAAGTATGGGATATAGGAGATTGTCTTTTCCACAACCAATCTGGTCTTACCTTGCTGATGTTTCAGAGCTTCTGACTACATATAGTGGTGAGAAGCAGAACTCCAGTTAGAAACTCTGAGGAATGTGTCTGATAGACATTTGGTATGTGGAAAAGAAAATCTCCTATATTTGTTATCCAACAGGTACTAGTAGTTTTACTTTTTAGTACTAAATACATAGACAATAACGTTATCTTTTGCCAAAAGATGAGAGGAAATTACTTACTAGATGTCTACAGTATTTATATACAATCTTCAAATTACTACCAGTTCTACGTTTGTTTCAGTCTGTCTTTGGTAAGAGTTTTGAATGTTGTACAGATGTTCTGATGTGATCTGTTGTTTCCCCACTGTTCTCAGGACTCTCGTGGAGTACAACAAGACGTCTCACTTCTCGGTGAAGGGCTCGGTCGGGTCTAAGATCCTTAAGGAGGTTGACCTTGACGTGAGCGGGTCGGGCGTGGTCGCCATTAAGGCCAGCTTCGGCAAGGTCAACAAGTGTGACGTGGACGTCCCGACGCTCATGCAGGCGCTGGATAAAAGGTAGTTTTTTTTATATCCAATTTTAACATCATTTTTCCCCCAAACGGGGCTTACATGCATGTAGACGTGCTTGCATCAAATGCAAGTCTTTTTTTGAAGCAAGATTTTTACGGCTGGATGCCCTTCCTAACACCAACCCAAACCCTAGTAGGGCCCAGGAACCCTCTGAGGGGGCAAATAGGTGTAAAGTGCCTTTCCCAAGGGCACAACGTCTGGGTTCATGTCCAGACATGTCTGGGTCCATGTTTTACAGATTCATTGATTTCTAAGAACCCTATTTTCCAATGAGTTGTATGTTACTTTGTAATTTATTTTCCAGATTTGTAGACTTCCGTCACGACTTTGTGAAGGAGGTTCGCGGAAACCCCCGTAACGTCCTCTGTGTTGTCGTGGGAACGGCCTGTACCATTAACCCTTCAGTGCTGAGCTCCGAGGAGGACCTGGAGGGGAGCCAGAAGGCCACCATCTCCCTGGGCACCACGGTAGGGGGAGGGTTAAATATCCATCCCTTCACTGCCTGTCTCAATCAATGTGTAATGTGCTGCCAGCATTTCAATTTTATGTTCATTTCATTTATTAGTTTACCCAGGCTTTATATGCTGCCATGTTGGTGATTTTCAGTGCTCCTTGCATATATAAAACAAAACAAAACAAAACAAAACAACACTTAATTAACATAATAGAAAGAAAAAGAAACTTATTGATATGATATGATAATAAATACAATATGGTAAAATTGGTACAATGCTTCAAAATAATATGAGAAACCAATGAATTACATAAAGCAAACGAAGGAAATATAACATATTTTGTTTCCTCTCATTGAAAAATGTCGATTACTACGTTTAACTAGTGCAAATTGTTGTACACAAGAAATTGTTACCCAAGCAATTGAAAAGGTTTTAAAAATCCACCTATTAGTTGCTGATAGCCATTTTTGCGCAGAGGACATATATAGGACTTGGCAGCTATAATAGGTTTGGCAACCAGGCTAAGTTGCTGGATGACAAAATGGTGTTTTTTCTGTCTACTTTCCTTTAGTGATTATGTACTAAATCTGTTTCCTGCTTTGTTTGCAGGCCAACATCGACCAGGAAGGTTCGATAACGAACGAGACAGACAAGGTGTTTGACCTCCCGCCGGAGACGCCGCTTGCGTACAACGTGTGCGAGATTCTGGTGAAGGAAGATGGTGGGATAGACCTGATGTACACGCGAGAAGGGAGCGGGGGGTTTGCTGCCAAGGCTGGGGCAGGTGTGGTGCACACTGATGCTCCTCCTAACACAGGTGAGATACTGTTGTGTATCGTCTAGCCTCCGTAGCAGGCTTATAGAACTGGGGGTTTGGTGGTCTTTGGCCGTTTTCTGATTAGCCCAGTTCTAAAAAAACGGGGGTAATTCAACCAGGCCGGCTATGTTGTCTATATGCAATCAGAAAATAGCACATCAAAGACCCTGAAGACCCCCAAACCCCCAGTTTTTGCAGGGCAGGGCAGGTGTGGTGCACACTGACGCTCCTCCTAGCACAGGTGAGATACATTATGACTTTATCAAGTAACCACATGATTCAACAATGTTTTATATCCTTTTGCCAGAACTGGGCTACACCATGAAGCCTCTGCTGTCCATGGAGGAACAGAAACGGGACAGCGTGACCTCTGCTGTCCTCAAGGTCATGGAAGTGCCAGCTGACCTTCCAGTGGTGGAGGAACTGGTAAAAAAATGATCAACTGTCTTAAAATGTTTGCAGTAATTTTATTTTGCTTTTTAAAAAATTCATGGCTCTGCAAATATACATTTAATTGTATTGCCACAGTAACGTTACTACAAAATTGTTTCAACCGCAAACTTAAGATATCGAGCAGCTTGATAATGTAATTTCCAAGAAAATAAATTGATGTGGCATTTAACAGCATAGAAAGTTGTATCTATTTCACTGCATGGCTTGTTATTTCCTCTTTTCATCTTGTTTTTGCTTTTAGATTATGAGTGATAGAGTACAATGGATTGCATTCTATGAGTAACTAAATCTACTGACCACGTTGTTTATATCTTGCCAACTTCAGCTGGATGATGTTGTTGACGGCAGAAAACCGAAGCCCTTTGCGGAGTTCAAGTCTGCCTGTTCCAACCCGACTGCTGTTCTCGCGTTTCTGTCTGCCATTGACTTTCAAATGGATGTGAGTTTTATCATTTCCTATTAGTAAATAGTAACATACATATACATGTACATTGTACATCAATGAAGGTTAGACATCCAGGTAATGAGATACACAAAGAAATTATTACTCAGGCAACTGGATAGGTTTTGAAAAACTGTCGGACATTTCAAGTAGCATCCACTACTTTTCGTTACTGAACAGTTGCTTGAGTAACAGTAGTGTGACTAGTCCAGTTGTTAGTAACCCTGCCTCTGCCCCTAATTAAATAAATAAGATGTCATGAGTATGTCACTCACCTGGCATACATGTACACGCTACTGGGTCCAGTGTTTGAAAAGAGCTAGGGGAATTTATTTGGTACAGTAAACCTGTAAATACTGTACTTGTCATCTACATGTATCTTCTCTGTCATGACCAGTGGAAGAGTAGGGCAACTGTTTATTAAATTTTTGTTCTAAGCTGGTTTAAGATCACTTTCAAATTCAGTTTTTTTTAACAAGTGAATACAAATAAGATTCCTTTGTCAATTGTCCTCAAACTAAACTATATATATAAACTAAAATGTTGTAAAACCACTTATGATTATACTACATGTACTAGCAAACCTTGGTCACTTAGCATTGCTTAGAGTGATAGATTTCAATTCTTGGAAACAATAAGAAATATTATAGGATTACATGTAGTTTTGCCCATGGTGAAATGGTAATCAAAGTAATTTATGGTTCTTTGTCCACATTGCTGATATTTTCTGATTGTGCTGTTGTTCCCTTCAGACTCCCTTCACAGATGAAGACAAGGCTCTGATTCGCTCCCTGGATGCTCTGTTTGACGGACTTCTGGGTAAGAAGCTTTTCCAACTTGTTGATTGATTGATTGATTGACCAATTTTCCAATCCATAGATTTATATCTGTTGACACACATCACTTTGTAAAGTAATCTTTTATGACTTATATCAGTATAACTTATAGTGAAATAAAAGAAGATGTTGTCTTCTTATGCTTGAATAAAGTCTGTGTCCTACCAACCTTAAGCATCTTTGAAGTTTCTCAACTTGTTTATTGATTATTTGGTTGATCAATTTTCCAATCAATTTTTTTATTTATCAGTTTTGCTGTTCAACCCTCACAGCCAGGGCAGCCCAACTAGCCTGTGGCTATTACAAAGGGCTTGCCCTGCTGACAAGACATGACAAAACATTACGGCAACATATAAAAAAACAAAACTCTTGTACTTTACCAACCTGATGAAACTATTTTCGGAATATACAAAGCTATTTACATTATTCTATCATGTAAATAACAACTTTCTACATAAGAACTTAATCTGTGAACGAATTTTCCAATCGATTTATAACTCAAATTTCTCACCCTGACACACATCACTTTGCAAAGTAATATACATAATATATTATAACTTATAGCAACAAAAAAAGAGGACATTGTTCTTCTTCTACTTGAATAAAGACTATGTTTTACTAAACTGTTTTGTATGATTTGCTTGCAGAGTTGTCTGATGAACAGTGCCTGGCCCTGAAGGAGTGCAACTCTAACTTCGCCCCTGCAATTCTGCATGTGGTGAGTGGGGGCGCTTTTGTCTCTCCATGGATCAGACTGTACAAAGGCACACAACAATGTTTTTGGCTTCTCAATTGCATTTCATAGCTACACTGCTAATTAACCACTAAGGACAGTTATTATTAATTGTGATAGTTTTTTTTTTATCTGTTAACTGTATCTGTTCATCATGTTTTCTTGTGACCCGTACTTAGCCCAGTGTGGCAAAAGTGTGCAATAAAGGGTTAATGCCCTGCCCAGAGGTGTACATATATATATGGTGAGATGACCCCTGGTCAGGTGTGATAACCACAAAATAAACCACAGAGTGAATGTAGCGAATGAGCTATATGATAATAAATGCAGAATGGCAAAAGTGCTTATGATAATAAATGTTGTCATTCATTTATTATTAGTACAAAATGTATCATTATTAGAGCTGTGTACCTAAACAAATTTTAGGTACAGGTACAGGTACAGGTACACAGGTTTAGGTACAGGTCCGGACCTGAACCTGTACCTAAAAAATTCGACCAATTTACATGCTCTTCTGAACTCTTTCAATAGCAACAAAAACATGTATACACTTGATAGTTAAGGTTTAATTTTGGTTTATGGAGAATGCTCAGATAAAATATAGGCAAAAGTAAGGTATTATTGTTTTCATGAACACACTGTACTTACATTGGAACCCATTGGCGACCATCTATTTCCACATTTAAGGTCACAAATAGGCATAAAATTGGTGTGAAATTGTTTAGGTACAGTACCGGTACGGAGGGATTAGGTATTTTGGACCTGTACCTAATCAATTTTTCCGGTACAGTATCGGTACTGAGTATCGGTACACAGCTCTAATCATTATCATATACAATGTACATGTATATCGTTACAGCTTGAGCAGGGCATTGCAGGTCACCCTGTGCATGTCCATTGAGTTATCTGTATCTTGTATGTGTTATCATCTACATTGTATGTTAATATCTATGTTAATCTCTATGTTAATACACGCATCTGTTTTAACTCCCACAGCTTGAGCAGGGTATAGCCGGCCATCCCGTGCCCTTAGATGACCCCGCCATCAGCATCCTCTATGTGTTAATACCTACATGTATGTTCACATTACTTACTATCTCTGTTAATAAATAAATAATAATATTTTTCAACTCCCACAGCTTGAGCAGGGAATAGCCGGCCATCCCGTGCCCTTAGATGACCCCGCCATCAGCATCCTCTATGTCAAGTCCAACAACCCTGGGCAGGACTTCCTGGAGGCCTTGGACTTCGGCATCCAAGACGTGGGGAATAAGAAGTCTCTGGTGACGGAAGATGATGGCAAGAGGCTGTACGCAGCTCAGCAAGCTGTGTACGGGCTCTGGGGCGGGCTGTAGGGCTATCCAGAACATCCAGAATCAAGCTTGGACATGGTTCTGGATACTAGTAGTTAACACCTTGGGGTGCACTGTAGGGCTATCCAGAACCGTGCTTCATCCAGAATAAAGCTTGGACATGGTTCTGGATAGCCAACTGCGTTCTCGATAGTCAACACCCTGGGGTGCTGTAGGGTTATCCAAAACCATGCTGCATCCAGAATCATGCTTAGCCAAAGCTCTGGGGCGGGCTGTAGGGCTATCCAAAACTGTGCTGTATCCAGAATCAAGCTTGGACATGGTTCTGGATAATCAACTGTGTTCTGGATAGTCAAGAAGCTCGGACGTTAGCACATTATAGAAAAAAAGACATGGCTCTGGATAGTCAACGTGCAAGCCGTATACTGGCTCCGGGGCGGGCTGTAGGGCTATCCAGAACTGTGCTTCATCCAGAATAAAGCCCAGACATGGTTCTGGAAAGCTCAGACATGGTTTTGGATAGTCAATGCATATCCAGAACCATGCTTTATCCGCATACTGTAGGCTTCCTGTTGCATCCAGAACTTTACTTCATCCAGAAGAATGCTCAGACGTTAGAACATTATAGACATGGTTCTGAATAGTTAAAGCATATCCAGAACTGTGCTCCCTTCAGAACCATCTACATGTATATGCTCAGGCGCAGTTTAAGATAGTCGATGACTCAATGTGTATCCAGAACCGTGCCTGGGGCAAAGCTACGATTTTGGATACGCGGAGAATATCCAGAACCATGCCTGATCCTAAGCCTGGTATACTAAAATGCACTAGCTAGAACCTGTGGTGTATAGGGCAGTGCCTATCTCCAGTTTTATAGCCCTTGGGCCACTACAGTAGTGGGCTAGTAGCAGCGTGTGTGGAGTTACATATACCATGTTCTTTCTCATATTAAAGTGCTTGTAGTGTTAAGCAGAAAAAGCGCTATTTTAAAGGTTTTAGTGTGATGTAGGGATGACAATTGGCTTGTATCTGATGTAGATTGAATGTTTGTATGAATGTATGATTGTGTATGTGACATTGTGTACAGCAAACTAGAAAGTGCACTGAAATTTGGCACTTGCATTGATGTGAAAAGGACCATTGAGCTTTGAAAAGTGTCTAACTGTAAAAGGAAGAAAATTTATTTTACGTCATAAATTTATTTTACGTCATAAATTGTTGTAATCGTCATAAATTATGTTTTACAAGATGACATTATGAATAAATCAGGTCTATCTAATTTAACCAAAATACAATGTACATGTATGTTTTAATCTGTTAATTGACTAAATACCTCATTGTTTGTAGTTTTACCATGACTTCTGTGTTAGCTAATGTTACATGTACAGCATAACAATGTTTCAGCATTTGGTATGGTTTTTACATTGATTTTTGATATCTGAGGAAAGTTTTAAAAGTTTTAAAAGTTTTTCTTTGACTAATGTATAAACCATGGATTTGGAAGCTGCAAAGTTGGTGCATTGAAGAGCACACAGCAGTTAAGGAATTTTGATTCCTTTAAGAGTCTTCCTTTAGTATCTTCACGATGCTCATGTATGTGTAGCACTGTTTGGAGTGTCTTGATTTTTAGGGCCAGTAGTGAGAGTCATGAAGCTTTATAATAACTGTGATTGTTGATCTTTGTTGATTTATTGTTTTTATAATCAATGATTATCAATGTGTGTAAAAGATCTAAAAGTTTGTAATTTCTGATTCTGAAGAGAATTGATTAGTAGCCTTAGATTTGAATTTTTGTAATAATCAAAGGCTGGACATTACTACTCTTTGCAGGTTGTTTCAAATTTGTAACAAAACAGATTATGCACTAAATTGTGATTTCCATTATTTCTTGAAAATATGTCATCCCAAAAATTGTTGAGAAATGTTGAGAGGCAGTTGATTACTAGTATATTACATTCCATCAACATTACCTTAATCAATTCCACTTAGAATAGAAAAGAGTCTGATTATGTCAGTTAACATTCTCATGAATCATGACATGACTCAAATTGCTGGAATGAAAGGAGAATTAATAAATGCGTTTATGTGTGGATACTGTTGAAGTTTTACTCATTTTCATGACCATTATGATATTTTACATTGTGGTATTGATATTGGAACAGTTATTATGTAACCATAATTTAAAATCATCCACATTTTCAAGTCAAGTTCTAGGCATGCAAGTATGATTTTTGCGTGTAAAGGAAAAAAAAGACGAGAGTTAATGGTCAAAACGGGTCGGTAAGTGAACGTCGCAACTCCCTCCTCACATCTGCTTGGTTACAGCGTTTCCAACTTTCGCGCCATTTTTTTTAAACGTGACCTCTGACCTAAACAAGATGGCGTCGATCTGACGATAAAAAGCACGTTCGCTCACTTTCTAGTGCGACTTTTCCATTTTCCCGTCCTTTCTGCCCAACCATAGTCTCCACATGGTTCGAGTTACTCAAGATAAACCTAAGGAGGGCTAAAATATCGTCTTAAAGGATGTCGGAGTCTACCAAGGAGGCGTTTCGGCGTCTGAGGCCGAGCTGCGTGAGACTGACGAAAGAGCAGACGGTTGAGAACGTCTTGGAGTTGAGGAGAAGTCTGGAGGAGACTTCGGAGGAGGACCTTCAGCAGCTCCAGGAGTACGCGCTTTTCCCGCTCAGGATCATCCTCAAGCAGAAACAGTGAGCGTGAGTTTTCTTCTTTCTTCATATGAGAAAAATTACTTTGAGTCCTTTTTTTGCGTAACGTAATGCAGGACTGGAAATACCTGGTGCATGTGTGCACCTTAGTGCACCCAAATTGGAGCTGTGCACCCAATTTTTTTTCTTTGGGTGCACTGGTGCTCCTAAATATTTTCATAGGTTTACATAATATGTTAAATGTGTAGTAGTGTACAGCATATTTGTAAATTCTAAGTGTCAGAAAAATAATAAGATCATTGTAGAACTAGAAGTACTTTTCTGTAGAAAGTACCCTCTCCAACACACCCACGTCCAGACTATATAACACACTATGTACTACTGTTGTACCCAGGCATGAGAGCCTGACCCAGGCAGTGTTGGAGTGCATGACCCATGTGTTCCAACACACCCACGTTCACCACTGGGACATGTTGGAGGACACTTTCACCCAGCTGTGTGTCCTTCTCAGCTCTCCCGCCAATAACGGACAAGGTACGGGATTCAGTCTAGAAATATTTGTGGAAATTCATGACACTACAAATCATAATGCATTTGCAATATATCATATTAAGGTATCAAGGTATATTATGTACACTGCATAATTGTTTCAACTGTGAATTTAGGAGAGTATGAAAACTGTGTGGGAACAACAGACAATAAACTAAATCGTGAGGGTGTGAGTGAGTGATTTTTACAAAAAAAAAAAATTAAGTCCAAGCTTAAATGAATGAGTTTATAATGAGTTTACATGAATGAGTATGTAAGTTGTAAGTTCATTAAGGGTCACGGCATCTTATTTTGTGGCATTATGTTGTGAAAATTGAATGTTTTACTGTATGTTTGTGTGTTGATGTACATGTAGAATGTATGCCCTACCGGGGTATTTAATTTCTATACCCAGTTGCTGATATAAGTGAGGAAGTGAAGCTGGCTATTGTGACAACACTGAAGAGTCTTCTTTTGGCCTCAGACTCCAGGTTAGTAGCTGATTAGTGGTGTAACATTACATCTGAGCCATCTTAACTGCAACTGCTCCTTGATTCTACTGTAGGGGAGAACTGGCTACTGTATTATATGACATTTGTCAACAGGTTCCATCCTTCAAAACGGTGTTCCTAATGAAAACATTTATTCAGCCATCTGAAAGGTCGTACAAGATATAGGACCTACTGTAAACTCAGTTAATTTACATGATATTGTACGAACGTATGTTACTGTATACCTGTGTAGTTTGTAAATTGTGATCGTAGTAAAATGTTTCACTTTATTCCAACACAAGGATTACACAAAGATCAAGTTTTCAACGACCACTATCACCTTCATGACCTTCCCTCCCCAACTGATGACCAATCACTTTGAAACGTAATCCTTGCTTTGGAATAAAGTTCAACATTTTACTATGATTACTACTAACACAGATGAACTTTCATGATACGTCGATGAAGGTTAGACATCCAGGTAATATGATATGCCAAAAAGCAGTTACTCAAGCAACTGGATATGATTTTGAAAACGTCAAAATCATTTTCAAAATCCAATTGCTTGAGTAACTGCTTTTTGGCGAACTTTCATGATAATTTGTAAATTGTGTTTTTTTTTCTGGATATTTCCCCACCAGCCTCCTGGTGAGCCTGTACTCGGTCCAGCGGCTGCCTGTGATTGGCCACGCCGTGTCCGTCCTGCTGTTGGCAGCTGAGCAGGAGAGCGCCAGGAAACTCCGGTTGGAGACCCTGGAGTGTCTGATGGTGCTGGCTGGCTGTCACTCCGGTGAGAGACCATGGATGAAATGTACCTGTACAGTTTTAGAAATACCCATCTACAGTCTGCATTTTGTAAGATATTTTCAATATTGCAGACCTTCAGCTGCAATTTTGCAGATTGAAAAAATCAGGGTAGGCCAGGCTGTCACTCTGGAGAGACCTTCTTCAGCATGTAAGTACTGTAATTCACTTGATGTTCAGGCCAGCAAAAGTTCACGGTCTGAGAAAAATAGACATGTTCACGGAACTATATATTCACATGTGGCGACAGGTGCAGGAAAAAGTCCCGGAATTATTTGTTAACTGTAATGATAGTAAGTTCACGGCACAGAAGTGACAGTGAAAACAGTGAACATAACGACAGTACATACAGTACAGTAAAAAAATCAGGAATTACAGTAGTGTTTTCATCTTGTCTTTTATTTTGACAATGTGCAGATCCTCCTGACCTTGAATCAGAGCGACCTGACCTTGACCCCAGTCTGCAGAGACAGATGGCCGACAGCTTTGCCTCCTTCTTACCTGGGATCACGATGACCCTCTCTAGGGTCATCATGGGAGATGCCAAACAGGGGCATGCTGTGACTGTGGTAAGTCTGAAGGGAGAAGCTTTGAAAGCTTTCCTCTGAAATCAGATGATTATATTCGTGAATAGTTTCATCAGGTTGGTAAGACACTGAGTAAAGAGACTCTTTTTTACACAACCTACTGCTGCAGTGCAGTGTAAACCAGTCAGAATTGCCCCGAGGAAGGTGACAGACAGTCACCAAAACGTCGGCTAAATAATGTTGTGTAAAAAAGAGTCTCTTTAGTCAGATGATTATATTTTTTTTTTGCGAATTGGTTCTTTTGTTTTAAGAAATATTGTTGCATTGTAGTATCACAGCCTGTTTTAAATCTGATTCAGAACCTCAGCCCCAGGAAACTTGCAGTTTCATTTTAGCCAATCTGAAAATTCATTAAGGTGAAGCTAGTAATTGCAAGCAACACAGAAAATAGCCTTTATGACGATAGAACCTTTTTTTGTGTGTGTGTCCACTGATTTTAACAAGCAGAGTGGGGAAATGGATACAGGCTGACCAATTTGATACTGTCTTACCCCCACCGAAAGATCTGCTTGGAGATTATGTGTATGTGTCCACATCAATTTTTTGTCCTTTCCTTCATAGGCTGCAACTGAAGCATGGTCCAGAATTGTTGCCATGGTGATGAGTGACAGCTCACTGGATGGCAACCAATCACAACAGAGCATGAAGTCACATGATGCTGATGTCAGTGAGAGGCTGAGGTCACTCCAGGTCAAGAGGACAGAAGAATGGTGCAGCAGCACTGCGGAGAAACTCAAGGTCAAGTTCAAACAGGGCTTTAGCCAGCGCCCGTTTTACCGTCAATTGACGGTAATTTGTCCCGTCTGACGGTAAAAATTTTAGTCCTTACCGTCAACATTGACGGTCAAAAATCGTGGGTAAAGACATGGAAAAAATCTAGCGAATTTGAATGAGGCGTTGCGTCTTTTCCAAACGCACGGCGGCGGGAAACCTGATTTCAAGGACCGTGCCGACGTCTGTTGACTTGGCTCTATTGTTCAATGTTGCTGTCTGTTAAAACAACATGTGCTAACGGCCACATAAGAATAAAATAAAACAATGGCTCGACTCAGACACACGCTGCTAACTGTACATGACAATACGACAAATAAACATGTGACAACGAACAAAGAAATATCAAACGTTTTTGAATAATATACTGTACTTGAATAATCATACTATCGCAAGAAAACGGAGATTGATCCACACAATGTGACCTTATTTAATCTAAAACTTCGTCAGACCTCCTTCGAAGACTTGAGCGGCAGCATAAAGATTTCTGGAGGATCGCTGAGACGCGAGTTTTTGCCGGCCACGTAACTCCCTCCGCGGCAAAATCCTCTATGCCGTAGCGAAATCACGTCTCAGCGCTTCCCCAAGTCAACTTCATGGCCGCTAAAGTCCGCAAAGGAGTTGTAACTTCCTCATTTCGGTAGAGAAGCGAAGCTGACAAGTAAAATCATGTACATGTCGGCCATTTTGTTTGCTACCCGAAGTCTTCCGAACACTCTAAATAAGGAAATCGTCGGAGATCTGAGCCACATCGCCCGCTGTCGGTCAGCGCTCGGGCCCGGCTCGGTGGAAATCGGAGGCTGTGACGTCATGAGTAGGTTCATTTGCATGGCCGCGGCTTGAATCGCGGCGGGATTTGAGCGGATCAAAACAAAGGGCATAGCGGATTGTTCATTGCGTGTTGTCTCCTTGTGAGAACTGTAGATTTTTTTTTTCATTCTGCAAAATTGCAGGTTGTGTAGTTTTTTTTTTATTCTGCAATCTTGACGGGTATTTAGAACACCGAATGCATTAAGTGTGCGGGAGGGCGTGATGTCGATCACCGGATCGTGAAAGACATTCTTTAAAAGTAATCATTGACGGAATTTTTTTTTCGCGTTGACGGTATTTTTTTTCGCGAATTGGGTTGACCTGGGGTTGACGGTAAAAAATTTCGAGCTGGCTAAAGCCCTGAGTTCAAACAACTTTATTTTTCATATTTACCAAAGGAAAACATCTTGTTTTTCCTATGTTTTCTCTTCTTCTTCCCCAAACAGTGACCTCAATGACCTGAACCAATGTTGTGTCTGTTACCATGGTAACTAGTGTTGGGTTGCATAATGTTGCAATTTCATAGTGTTGCATTTGTAGGTGCTGGTACAGAGGATAGCAGGCGTGGTGACACACCCCAACTGGAGAGTCAGGCTGGCACTGGTGCAGTTTGCAGAGAGACTTCTCATGAACTGCACTAAGTGAGTTTCCTGCTGCAAGGGTTTATAACTCTAGTTCTGGATGGATGTATACTTTACTTATTAGTTGCTTCTCCATCCTAGATAGATAAATACAAAAGAGGGCAGATTTGGGGTTGTGCGTGTGTCTATTGCTAGTGATAGACTGTTACATGTAGTGTTCTTGTGTCCCCTGTAGGACCCTTCAGTGTTGCTTACAAAAGAGGACAGATTTAGGGTTTTACATGTGTCTGTTACTAATGGTTAACAGTTACATGTGGTGTTCCTGTGTCCCCTGCAGGAGCCTTGAGTGCTGCACCTCGCCCCTGCTACAGGTGTTAGTGAGCCAGGTGGGGGATGACTATCCACAGGTGGCAGACAGGTGCAGGCAGGTAAGTGTCAGAAATACAGTACTGTTGTGCTGTGCTGTGTAGTGCTGTGTAAAAATGTTTAGGTTCAAGTCTAGACAAAACTAAGAACCAATTCCAGACTTATTAGTACATATTACAGAAGAAACCCGGGTCACATACCCCTTTTCTTTCCAAACCACCTGAAACCTTCCACAAATTGCAAAATCTGTGCTGCAAAACATTGCCATCGGGCATCACCAAGTATCGGCCTCCATGTTATGTGTCCAAAGGTTTGCCCAAACAACATTGCAAGGTTGCCAACACTGAAACAAAGTATTTGTACCACTGCAGGTGCTGGGCAGGTACTCTGAGGCTCACCTTTTCTTCTTGTTCTCCAAACAAATACAATATATCATGTAACATCAATGACATGGATCAAACTGCATAGCTGAGGCTTGGTGGCAGCCTGCCACTTGCCTCTATCCTGTGTATATTGCAGAAAGTATTTTTGAACTGCAGGACAAAATTTTGCAAGAACAGTGAAACATTGAAAGAAAGTATTTCTACCGCTGCAGGTGCTGGGCAGGTACTCCGAGGCCCACCTGGGCTCCCGACCACTGGTGGAGATACTGGAGGAGAATCTCCACTCTCTCGCCACGTCTCTGCCCAGGCTGATGAGGACAGCTGGTGAGGATTTGTGATTTTATTGTTTTATCTTTTATACCTATATGTTTTTGATATTTTTTCTTCTTTAAACAAATAATAGTTTTTCTTAACATTTAGTTAGCAGGAGTTGCTTTTGTTCATTTATTTTTCTTCTCCTCCAAACAAATACATGTAAGGTCAATGGCATGGACCAGATGTCTGTCACCATGGTAACTGGTGCTGTAGCAGACACCCTGTGGTGTTCGGTTAAATTATGTAGCAATTTGCAGGTCAGAGCTGGAGGGACTGCTTGCTATACTACCGTTACTTCTGGACATGGAAGTACTGTTTTTGGTGGCTGAGCTGTGTGTTTGTGTGTCTGTGTGTCCAGGTAGCGTAACTTGATATTTCCTTCCCCAGATGATGGTAAGAAGCTGTCGACCTTGACCCTGACCCATGGTTACCTGAGACTGCTGGGCCCGAGGATGACATCACTGCTGAACTCCGCACCTCACCTGAGGAGACTGTCGCTGGCCCTGGTGCAAGTCCTGGAGCTGGACGTTACCGATGTGAACATAGTGGGGGAACGGACAGCCGGGGCAGGTGGGAACCAATCAATCAATCAATCAATCAATCAATCAAGCAATCAATCAATCAATCAATCAATCAATCAATCAATCAATCAATCAATCAATCAATCAATCAATCAATCACACATATGCATACTCACACACTAAGACTCACGCACTCGCACACACTCACACTCTCACTCACACTCTCACTCACACTCACTCACTCACGCACTCACGCACTCACACTCTCACACTCTCACACTCTCACTCACACTCTCACTCACACTCTCACTCACTCACGCACGCACTCACGCACTCACTCACACTCTCACTCACTCTCACTCACTCACGCACGCACTCACACACGCACGCACGCACGCACTCATTCATGCACTCACTCACTCGCTCACTCACTCACTCAATCATTCACTTACTCAATCATTCAATCACTCACACTCACATACTCACACATACACATACTCACACACACTCATTCACTCATTCACTCACTCAATCATTCAATTACTCACTCATTCACTCACTCAATCACTCACCAAATCATTCACTCAATCAATCAAGAGACTTGGTGGATGTTACAGATGTTAACATAGGGGGAATGAATGAATGAATGAATGAATGAATGAATGAATGAATGAATGAATGAATGAATGAATGAATGAATGAATGAATGAATGAATGAATGAATGAATGAATGAATGAATGAACGAAAGAACGAACGAACGAATGAATGTAGGGACTCTGCTGCACCTTCAGCACTGGTACCAGGTGCCTGTGTTTCTTGCTGCAAATGACTTGCTTGAGTATTTTATAATGCTTCAAATGAGATCACACACTTCGAATATGAGAAAGAAAACTTTTAATCAGGCCAACTTAAAACAGTGTAGCATTGTTGTGTATACAACAATGACTTCACATCACTTCACTTCACACTTTACACAGTCACGCAATGTTGACATACATTTAGCACAAATCTGTATGTCATGTATATCAGATAAACAATCTCAAGAACTTTTCATTCAAATGTTTAACTTCTCATTAGATCATTATTGTGCAACATTTACCCCTACCAGCAAAGGTATGCTGATACACCTGTACATACATGTATGCAATATCACCATCATTTTCTTACCATCCTTTCAAACATCTGAACATGCACATTTTCTGTGGGAATTTACATTTAGTCACTGTAACAGTAGTGATTTTCGCTTCTGTTTCTGTCACCAAATACATGACATGATATCAGGGCAGTACAGTTCAACTGCCACACAAGCAAGCAACTGCCACACTAGCCACTTAGGCCCGATTCACACGTGCGTCGTTTTTATGTGTCGGGCGTCATTCGACACATTTTTCAATCGTATAAACAGGCCCGCCACCGCCGCGCGGCGCCTTGTGTCGTTTTTTCTGTGGCACCTTCAGGAGGTGCCACAAGTGCGTCGCGGCACACAGCGGGATATCTGCGGCGAGGAAAAACATCATGTAAACAGACCTGCGTCGCGCGCAGCTCGCGCAGCCCATTTCCGCATCACAGAAGGTCAAATTTCTTCATTCCCGCGCTAGCCTGAAACCCACGCCACGCTCCTCTGTTTGTATCTATTCATTCCACTTCTGTATCAATTTCTACTTGTTGTTAGTTGTTTCTTCGGATTATTTTGTACGGATTGTTTGCTAAGCATTACTGCTTGTTTGATGAGCATGGCAGAAGTCAACAGATCTAACTGGACCAGCGCTGAAACGCGCTGTTTGATCGGGCTGGGGAACTGTGACAGAATTCAGAGCAAAATGGAAACTTTCAGAAAGAAGGAGGCCTACTGAGACATTGCCGAGGGCATGAAGCAGGAGGGATACAATAGGACCTCCAAACAAGTCCAGAAGAAGATAAGAGACCTCAAGTACTCGTACCGGAGAATCAGGGATTCGAACAGTCGTAGCGGCAGGTCAGAGTTCACCACATGTGACACAGCTCGACGCAGACCGCCACAGCCCGCCACAGCTGCGGCGCAAAGCGGGAGCTGCGGTCCCTGTGTGTAAACGGGAAAGTGTCGTAGGCGACTTGGTGCGCGCGCGCGTCGAACGACGCCCAACACTTTTATTTTTCATCGTGTGAATCGGGCCTTACTTACTAGTAGCCTGCTACAATCCTGTCACACTAGCCACTTACTTAGACTGCTACAATTCTGCCACACAAGCAAGCAACACATTCAGCAATTTTATCAACCTCAATCCCTGTACTCACATCCAGTGAACGAATACTGGCTAGGGGGCAGTGGCCTTCACTTCACAGATGTAATACATGTACATAGGACTACTGCATTCAATATCAATCCACTCATCACTGTGATAAAGTATCGCACAGTTCCTAACACGATCATTAGGGTGAGGGTACCTGTGTCCCCAGTTGTTCCAGCCTGTGCCGAGTTTTGTCCCGTCCTCCCACATCCAGGTTCCCTCTGTCACCTCGTCTGTCAGACCGATCCAGGCAAAGTAGTACTTTCTGGCTATGACCTGTTTGCCCAGGAAGTCGTTTGTTGCCTGGTCTTTAGGCATAGCCAGGTGCCCACCGTCAGCCTGGCAGTCAGACTTGGCGTCGGTGTAGTTTTTCACGTCGGTAGAGATCTTGTAGCACATGTCGGGCTTCTCACAGTACAGTTCATAGCCACTGGGACAGCCTGCTAGGGTCTGGTTACAGCAGGCTGCAGAATAAGATACGTAGTCCATTTTATATCTAAGCCTTCTTGTAAGTTATGGTTGACAGACTTTGAGACTTGTGCTATCAAAAACATGGCTCTCGTGATGAAGATAACAGTAATCAAAATGGTGTACAAATGGTGCTAAGGATGGTATGCTATTATGAAATACAGTGTAGTATGTATGTTACTCACTCATTTTGTTGTGGCAGAGATCCAATGCGAGATTCTTGACCTGGTTCTTCAAGTCAGCCACATCCTTGTCTCGCAACTCCCTAATCTGCCCCTGCATCTGCTTGTTCTGTTCCAGCAACAGAGTGATGACCATGTTCTGGAATTGATGTAAAGGAACATAGATTATTAAAACTACTGAAACCTGAAGTAGTATTTTTATTTATTAATGACTAATTTTTAGTTGAATTCCAGCCCTTACGTATAGTATTACAAAATTAATGTACATACATGTAACTATTAGGCCACAGCAAGTAATTTTTAGTTTCCAACACAAGGCAATGTTGGGCTAACCCAAATGTTTCATGCTATACTACTCAATGTTTTGTATCTGTACCTGTATAGCCGCTATAACCACCCTTCAGTGTAACAGTGACACCAGCTTCTGTATCTGTATAGCCGGTATAACCGCCCTTCGGCGTAACACACCAGCTTCTGTATCTGTATAGCCGGTATAACCGCCCTTCGGCGTAATACACCAGCTTCTGTATCTGTATAGCCGGTATAACCGCCCTTCGGCGTAACACACCAGTTTCCGTATCTGTATAGCCGGTATAACCGCCCTTCGGTGTAACACACCAGCTTCTGTATTTGTACAGCCGGTATAACCGCCTTTCGATGTAACACACCATTTTCTGTATCTGTTCATTATATGCACTTTTAATTATATGCAAAATTCATAATAAATAAATTACCCTCCCCTGACATGGAGGAACTACTAATAGTGATGGAAAGACAAATTTAAAACATCTGTATATAATAAACATCATAGACTGGGAGGAAACTAATGAACTAGAGAGGCCGACATTTGCTTGGGAGCAAATACAGCATATTTCAGTCCATCTCCCTCCCACGCAAAAGTGGACTATTCCAAACTTACCCCAGTGTAAAACTGGCAAAGATTCTCAAATAAATGAATTATATAGTAGCCATGTAATTGAGAACAAAGATGCAACAACAAGCACATTGAATCTCGAAAGCTTTACTAATCTTCTTACAGGTATGTAAATACTAACAATGATGAGATTTGATACATTTTGAAGGTCTTAGGCACATAAAATTGAATGTGTGGGTCATTACGTACTACTTACGTGCAATGTGACCTCAGGTAACCCGCAATGGAACACCTGTTCCATGGCCAACGGCAGATAGAACGTGCCATTCTTTAGATAGAACATGGAACGGGTATAGCACTTTTGGCCCTTTTTTGCTGACAATAGCCATTAAAGTCCCCCAAATGAGTCATTTGGAAGTGGTGTATGCCAAATATGTGACTGTTGTTCTGTAGACACATGTTCAAGGTACCCTTATACCGAATTTCAGATCATTTGGTTGTAAAACCAGGGCTCAGGATCCAAAAATCCATTTTTTGGCGAAAAATGCCCCAAAAAACCTTCATAAAAATTTTTTAAAGGCATGTATAAAAAAAACGAAAAAAACGCCTGGGGGTATTGGCCCACTCTACCTCCATGCCAAATTTCAAGTCATTTGGCTGAATGATGGCGGAGTTGAATCCCTCTGACTGTGTGGCAGGAGGAGGAGGAGGAGAAGAAGGAGAAGAAACATCAGAGAACACAATATATTTCATCCATACCATGGTATGGACTGAAATATAACTAACCTGTCCAGCATCTGACATGTCCAGTAGCTGTGGTTCCAGCAGGCTGGTGTCTTGGAATAGTCCCTCAGTTTGCTTCAGCAGCGCAGCAAGGTTGTCAGCAACCTAGAATAAAGATGAAGGTTTTCAATCCTGTCCAAGCCGGCCAACCAGGGGACCGATGAAAAGTGGTCACCTTGGACAGGTGGTCTCCTTGAAGAGGCTCACAAAAACATGACATAAATGGTTTCCATGATGTTTTAATGTCAAATGCTGCGAGCATCTTCAGTACTTTAGGTAGAAAGTGGACCAAAAAGTGGACCTTTAAACCTTGGGGAGTGGGTGTTCTTCCGAACATCTCCCCCCCCCCCCCGCCCCTCGGCTACAGGGTAGTAGACTGGTTTATTGGGTCTTAACACAAGATATACATGCCTCCTGGTAGCCGCGGAGGGCTGAATTGTGCCTGGCATAACTTTATAGTACCCTTAATGACAAGGACAGAAATGTACGATGTGGTAAGTTTGTGTGAATACTAGACACTGCTGCTCCTACCTGACTCTTGTCTGCTGTGCCACTCCCTCCTGTGTTGCCCCCAGTGTTGAGGTTGATGTTGACAATTTGGCCTGAAGCCTGCAGCAGGGGCATCAGGACAGCCAGCATCACAAGCACTGCTTTCAGCATCATGGTTGGTTGTCGGTGTGCAAAGATCTGGAAACAACTCTCCCGACTACGGTACTGACGAGTCACAAGTGAAGAGCACCTTTTTATACCTGAGCCTTGTTGATGTTACCAGCACAGGGCTAATTATGTCATCAAACCATCTGAAACTCAGAACTGACAGTTCTAACAGATTGGAGTTCTTTGTTCAGCTACATGTGTATAAAACATCTTTCCTGACTGCAGCATTTACAAAACTGTCTACACGTTGATGATACCAACGCACAGCCAATTTACCCATCAAACCATCTGAAACTCAAGACTGACAGTATTGTCTTACAGATGGAGCTCTTTGTACATCTATATAGAGGTGAGGGAATGCAGAAGGTCTACAACCTGTTTTTAAAACCATTAACTCAACACTGCTGGTATTGCATGTTTATTGCAAGAAACGATTGTTCGCTAAGCCAAGTGATCATTAACAGCTTTACTTATGTAATCTTTGTACAAATTATGTAAATTATGTAAATGGGTCTCCCTGACATTTTGTGGAGGGTGCATATCGGTCTTTGCCAATGGGAGAAATTCAAGACGACTCTAGATCTTATTGACTCTACACAGTACAGTTTGTTGCTGTGAGTTCAAAAGGTCAAGGCCACTACACCTAAGAGGAGGGTCTGTATAAACGGCCATCTAAACCTCAAGTTAAACTGTTAGGTAATATCTAATGCTGTTGGAGATATCAATTTTATTTCAAACTTATTACATGTACTTTGGAATAGGAGTCTTGATTCACAAAATATGATATGCCTAGTACATGTTCCTTGCAAATAATAATGGTCTGCTGGAACTGTTTAGCTATTGGAAATCTGACAACCATTTTTTCCAGCCTACTTATTTTTTTTACTACAGGTAGTAAGTACTTACTAGTTTTCTGTTCTTCCAAATGTAACTATAACACTGGCACAAGTGGCACTAGTCAGAGCTGTCCCCAAAAAGTCAAGGCCACGTTTTCCCACTGAGTACCTTCAAATCTCCTTGGTAAGCTGTGTGAGTAAAGTGTTCGAAGGTCTTCTGCGGGATGCATGATTTCTGGACACTGTAAAGAGTCTGGGCGCATCTCAACATGGTTTTATGGGAAACCGATCGACAGTCACAGCACTGATTCATATTTTACAACAGTGGCACGAGGCACTTAACTCTAAATCTAAGTTGGACGTGCAGGCAGTATTTATGGATTTCAGTTGTGCTTTCGACACCATTAACCATGGCCAACTTTTGCAAACCTTGGCGGACATGGGTATTAGAAGGTCCCTATGGAACACAATCAGCAGCTACTTGGGAAACAGAACCCAGAGGGTGAAATGGGGTACCTGTTTGTCGAAGCCACATAACGTCCTGGCGGATGTTCCTCAAGGTGGAATTTTGTTGCCACTGCTGTTTGTGATCTGTATGAACTCACTGGACGCCCAGCAGTAGGCCTTAAGAGAGCCCTGTTTGAAATACATGTGTGACAGCACACTGTAGTAGTTTGTATGTCACAGGTAAATCCAGGGGGTACATGTACAAACAAATCGTGTGTGTTGTACTCTGCTTTTATTTACTGGTCTTTCAACTCATGTGCTTTTGCCTGGAGGTGGTTTACTATAGTACTGGAAAAAAATAACTGTTACAAGAAATTCTACTCAGAGAAGGTATTAAGTTCAATACTACACATGTCGATGTTACAATAATCAGTGTATTACTAACCTTCATGGTACATTTCATTGATAATGTCCTGAACAGCATTTACCATCTTCTGGTAGCCCTTTGTACAAAATCCTTGACCTGCCTCTTATCCTTGACCCTCTCGACTAGCAACAAACAATGATCAGTCGGTAACTGCACACAGTCGTCTTGAATTTCCCCCATTGGCAAAGACCAATAATATGCACCCTCCACAAAATATCATGGAAACTCATCAGTAAGTAAGTAGGTACTAAGAAAAGCTGTTAATGATGACTTGTTGGCTAAGCGAACAATCAAACAGATACTTGGCAGGACCACATGCAGTACCAGCAGTGTTGAGTTAAAGGTTTTAAAAACAGGTTGTAGACCTTCTGCATTCCCTCACCTCTATATAGATGTACAAAGAGCTCCTATCTGTTAGACAATGCTGTGAGTCTTGAGTTTCAGATGGTTTGATGGGTAAATTGGCTCTGGGTTGGTATCATCAACGTGTAGACAGTTTTGTAAATGCTTCAGTCAGGAAAGATGTTTTATACACATGTATAGCTGTACAAAATAATACTTTGCTGGACAGATTGCAAGTAACGCAAGGTTACCTGTGTTTCCGCACATTTGTAGCCAGCATAACTTTTGAACCTTTGGATGGATTGTAATGATATTTGGTATGTGGGTAGGTGTTGGGTAGGCAAAGGACACACACACACTCACACACACACCACGCAAAGACACACACACACACACACACACACACATACACACGCACACAAAGACAAATAACATACAGAGACCCCGACTCACGCACTCACACTTGCGCGCACACACATTCTCTCTCATACACGAACACGCACACACTCATACACAGAGACGTGCGAACGTCTCACACATACACACGCGCACGCATGCATTCTCTTTCTTCCGAGCATACCGTACATTAGTCGGGATGTATTACTTTGCAGGCTGGATAGATGGTAGAAAAAATCATCGTAAAAGGAATGTAGCTGGCCAGTAAAGTTAGCCGGCCATAGAGGGCCCAGTTTGTCTGCACGGGAATAAAAGTGCCCTCGGACAGATCTTCGAAATCTAATAAAAGTACCCTGAGGCTCTAGAAGTACACCCCCCCTCCAGAAAATTTTAAAATGGACACGTAAGCAACATCTATGCTCCAAAAATGTGTTCTCACTGTGTATATTTAAATCTATATGACTGTCACTTGCAATTACTGGTCCCGATTACTAGTAAACATACCCCCCCCTGAATACTAGTATAAGCACCCCTACCCCCTACAAATCTTCAAAATCTAATAAATATACCCCCCAGAATAAATGTACCCCCTGGAAAATTACCAAATTAACAGCCTGTATTTTTATTATTGAGGAGTATACATGTATGGCACTTGCAAGCTAATTTATATCTGTGAGTATAATCATCCATCAATGTTCACACAATTTGTTGTTGATTGTTGCACTGCATACTGTATCATACATGTTATGAGCAGAAACAGTACTATCAAGTTTTGAAATAAGAGTTCTTTATTTTTTAAAGCTTGATGATTATCAGTAAGATTCCATTTATAGATTAATTTACAATATGCTAAACATATGCTTCATACAAATTGTTATACTAGTGTAAAAGCCATTGGCAAAGAATTGATAATTATCTACAAATATTGTAATATTATTTCTTTTTTTTTATCTTTCCCAAATTTCCATTGATTTTATGCATATTTCCCTTTAATTATTAAGTTCAATACTACACATGTCGATGTTACAATAATCAGTGTATTACTAACCTTCATGGTACATTTCATTGATAATGTCCTGAACAGCACATTTACCATCTTCTGGTAGCCCTTTGTACAAAATCCTTGACCTACCTCTTATCCTTGACCCTCTTGACTAGCAACAAACAATGATCAGTCGGTAACTGCACACAGAGTCGTCTTGAATTTCCCCCATTGGCAAAGACCAATAATATGCACCCTCCACAAAATATCATGGAAACTCATCAGTAAGTAAGTAGGTACTAAGAAAAGCTGTTAATGATGACTTGTTGGCTAAGCGAACAATCAAACAGATACTTGGCAGGACCACATGCAATACCAGCAGTGTTGAGTTAAAGGTTTTAAAAACAGGTTGTAGACCTTCTGCATTCCCTCACCTCTATATAGATGTACAAAGAGCTCCATCTGTAAGACAATGCTGTGAGTCTTGAGTTTCAGATGGTTTGATGGGTAAATTGGCTCTGCGTTGGTATCATCAACGTGTAGACAGTTTTGTAAATGCTTCAGTCAGGAAAGATGTTTTATACACAATGTAGCTGTACAAAGAACTCCAATCTGTTAGAGCTGACAGTTCTGAGTTTCAGATGGTTGGAGACATAATTGGCTCTGCGTTGTTAACATCAACAAGACTGTAGACAGTTTTGTAAATGCTTCAGTCAGGAAAGACGTTTTTTTTACATCATTTTGCAGTGCAACCATGGGAGTGGAGATGGTGATTGTCGTCCTGGCTGTTCTGATGCCGCAGGCTTCAGGGTCTGGGTTAGTCATCAACATCAACATTAACATTGGCACACTAGGAGGGGCCAGGAAAGATGCCAGTAAGGTGAGTTTACACTCTGAAACACACATTTTTCTCCATAATGATACAGCTTTGATTGGAAGATTCTTGTACTATAGTTGTTCTTCTCATCTGATCTATCTCTTCTCAGTAAATTTTGACTGTTTATATCTGGCAGCCGTTTTTTCACTCAAATGTAATGCCTAATATATGTTCCGAAATCCTTATATTCCGAATTCTGTATATTCCCAAAATCCCTATGTTCCAAAATCTCGATGTTCTGCAGTCCTTATGTTCCGAAATCCACAAACACACACACCACACACACACACACATCACACACATGCACACACACATACACCGCACACACACATACACCGCACACACACCACACACCACACCACACACACACATACACACACACACGCGCGCGCGCACACACACACACACCACACCACACACACACAAAGACAAATAACATACAGAGAACTCGACTCACGCACTCACACTTTCGCGCACACGCACTCTCTCACACACGAACACGCACACACTCGTACACAGAGACGTGCGAACGTCTCACACACATACACACACGCACGCATGCATTCTCTTTCTTCCGAGCATACCGTACATTAGTCGGTATGTATTACTTTGCAGGCTGGATAGATGGTAGAAAAAATCATCGTAAAAGGAATGTAGCTGGCCAGTAAAGTTAGCCGGCCATAGAGGGTTGTGGGGTGCCCGGCTTCAGGATCGGTCTATCATCCTCCCTTCTTTTCTGTTGCCTAGCCCTTTTCCTTCGTCCCTGGACTGTGCCTTGCATGTTTCAAGAATCAAGATAGATTACATACATTGTACTTCAAACAGTTTTCCTAATATTTATTAAAAATTCAAGCCCTGACTACTATGGTACATTATTTCCTTTACTAGATTATTCTCAATGTTGAAGAATTGGCCCGCGGACTTGCTACTTGGCAGAACATCATGACACCTATTCCTGGCACCACCACTGGTCCTGGCACCACCACTGGTCCTGGCACCACCACTGGTCCAGGCACCACCACTGGTCCTGGCACCACCACTGGTCCTGGCACCACCACTGGTCCTGGCACCACCACTGGTCCAGCCACCACCACTGGTCCTGGCACCACCACTGGTCCTGGCACCACCACTGGTCCAGGCACCACCACTGGTCCTGCCACCACCACTGGTCCAGGCACCACCACTGGTCCAGGTACCACACCAGTTCCTATCTCAACACCTGGTCCAACCATTTCACCTGAAGAGCTGCCCACACCCTGCCCCAGCAGCTACGTGTATGAAGAATTCCTGAACAGGTGTTTCAACTTCTCCACTGATTTAAGTAACTTCACTGATGCCAGGTCTGCCTGCCAGGATGTTGGCGGATTCCTGGCCATGCCTAAAGACCAGGCAACAAACGACTTCCTGGTCAGTCAAATCCACAATAGGTACCCCCCTTTCTCCATGGTCTGGTTTGGTCTGACCGACCAGGTACAGGAGGGAGTCTGGGTGTGGGAGGACGGGACGCCGCTTGCAGGCTGGTCTGACTGGGGATTTGGGCAACCCTCCAATATCACTGCTGACTTTGATTGTGCTTGGTGGGAAGGTTTTGAGGCCTATAAGTGGTATGATACTGAGTGCTCCAACATACAACATTATGTGTGTGAAGTAAATGCTACTGTTGTCTGATTTCTCAGTACACATTTGTCAAGTTGTACCAAGTACTGCAACAACTGTTTGAAGTTTTGGAGTGAATAAAGGTTTCCTTTGTCATATTTAATGTGTGTGTTGCCATTATTATTGTGAAGTGGCTATGGCAAGGAACATAGCCATTATGTAAAAAAAGAAAATTTACAAAACTCATACGTCGGGACTCGAACAATTAGTTTTTGAGTGTTAAATGCAAAACAGCGAGTGTTAAAAAAGAAAATTAGAAAAAAAATTCTACGTCGGGAATCGAAAGAAGGCTCAAAGGTCCACAAAATTTTATCTTAAGGTCCAAGACTTCTTTAAAAGATGGACCAGCGGGGCTGGAATCCCAGAAAAAATGGCTCACTTGGTCATATATTGAATAAAAAGTTATGTCTGATTTTTTCTGTGAAATCCTCTCAAAAATGCACGAAATGTCATTTCAGAAGGTTCAATTTTCAAAATTTTCCGGGGCTCACTGGGCCCTCAAACTGTGGGAAGCCCCCCCCCCTCCAAAAT